ATTAATATATTAATATTTGTATTAATTATTAATTATTGATATTTATATTAATATATTAATATTTAGCAGGATTTAATCAGAATGTATGACAGATTGCTATCATTCTACTGTCAGATCTGATATCAGGCCTGGCGTGAATCTGCTGTCATTCTGCTGTCAGATCTGATGTCAGGCCTGGCGCAATTCTGCCGTCAGATGGATGTCAGGTCTGCAGGCCAAGCCTACCGACATTCTGGCTGCCTAATGCGACACAGCGACCGCTAGCCTGTCGGTAGATTCTGCGGAAGATGGCAGGATCTGTCGACAGCCTGGCCCCATTCTGCCACCAGATGGTTGACTGGGTATATTAAACCGTAAGTATTATCGCCTTTTTCCGCTTTATATGACCTTCAATGTCCTTGTGTTATAGGTCATTGAATTCGTTTCAAGATTCTCTATCATGATACGGAAGCAAAAATATACCGATCCATTTAAAAAATTAGCGGTGACCTTAGCGTAGCTTCAGCGCCTCCACCAGTAAAAATATAAAGTGCGCCAGTATGGCGGCCTTCTCAAACACTGAAACTTTTGTATGAAACATTTTTTCGTACGACGAACACCTTACGAGTTATTTGTGGTCGTCATGTTAGGAGACTCACCCTGTATGTTTTCATAAAATCCAAACTAAGAATGATATTTTCAAAATTCAAGAAGCAGCATATTACGAAATAAAGATAGAATATTATACTACATAATGCCAATTGTACTTCAATATTTGTTGAAAATCATACGAATAACATCAATATAAAACATCATGAAAAACATAGAAAAGAGTTTCTCTTTTACAAACAATATTTGCACATAAGAATAATCATCGTTGAATCACAGTTTTACGTAGATCACGTAGTATGAAATATAAATGTTACATTTTCAATCATTTCTAACAAAATAAGTAACTGCCCTTAACATGCTGTGATTACGGTTCCAAAAAGCTGTCCCGTGTCGAGTTTCTACCTCATCGCTCCAGCGGATATGCAAGTGTCGGCACAAATCAGCATAGAATATGACAAACAGTTAAACCCAAAAACAATATTTTTAATTCTTTTGCAATGAAATTAGATCGTTTATATCGTTTCATAAATTTATTTTAAGTTAGAATTCTCTTTCGAATGTGAATAGACGCCTTCGGACAGGCGACGATATATCGTTGTTCGGCACTAAAAGGATTAAAAACCTAGTCCAAATTCCCAGAATCCTTGATGGCAAGATGTTTTATCGATATTTAGAAATGGGCGTCGATTGTAAGGAACATTCCAAGAGTTCACCAGCATCAAATAATTATGACGTGGTTCGATTAGTCTCCTGTTTTTTCTAAAAATTCATCTCGATTCATTTATTATACTCCTGGCTTCAATTAGTTTCGTAACCGAAGTATTACGTAGGATTTTGAACGAGATGTATGTATCAACGACGATATCTCGCAAATCCGACCTTTATACCTAGTGGCGAAAAGGAACAAATTCTTCCTGGATCGTTCACATCCCGCACCTACTAACCCCTCGGCAGGTGTCTTTTGCCTCTTCTCCAGCGATAACTGACAAATTGACACAATCAATGTACTCAATCAATGTTGAGACCTTAGCGAAGTTACTTCGTAACAGGGTAAACATTCCGGTAGTCCCTGTCCATTAATGGAGTTTTTCCCTAATAAACTTTTTTATTAGAAGTTCTATGTAAAAGTTGACTAAAAATTCTATAAATAAACAAATAATCTCCTTATTTAATTCTCTTCAATTCAAATTATTTATAATTTATTTGGAAATTCTATATAAAAATTGATACAAAATTCTAGTATTATACAAATAATTTTCTTATTTAATTCTCGTCCATTCAAATTATTTATTATTTATTTATAATGTAAAGTTATTTAAAAGTTGATAAAAAATTAGATTAATAAACAAATCATTTTGTTATTTAGTTCTCTTCTATTCTTCTTTTAGAAAATGTCCATTGTGCGATACATCAGTCCTCCCCTACTGCGGTGACAAATTATTACACGATGCCTGCTGCTGCTCGGACCCAAACTACGACGATGACTTACCATTCGTGTGTACATTGGCAGACTGCGGATTTCTACATGCCAACAGTTGCAGGGAGCACCGGTTGATCGCCAGATGCTGTTGTACCGATGATTATAAATCTTTATTGAAATCGTTTCCCAGTTAGAATAATTGAAGATTCGAATTTTAATTTGGATCATCTTTGAAAGGTGAAATAAAGAAGCACTTTCGAGTAACTATGGTTCTTTTTATTATTGATAAACAATGTGCAAAGGTACAATTGAATTTAACAGAGTTGTGTTCATGACTAGTGGATAATAGACATTTTCGGACAAACATTGTGCATTCTGGGAAATACTGCATTGTGAAAGAGGATGAAATTCTGAGTCAAAAGTTCCTGTTCCATTTTTCTCTATGATCATTTTTAAGAAAGTTATTATAGAAAAAGCGTGGTAGCCCCGTCCTTGACATTCGATTGATCCACGTTTCTTTGTTAATAATTTCCTTAATAAAAATTGTACAGAAAAATGGAAGAGGAACTTCTAATTTAAAATTTCTTCCTCTTTCAAAATACAGGAAACCCTAGAGTACACAATTTCGTACTGTTGATTACAAATCTCTATTGAAATCGTTTCCTAATGTGAATAATTAAGAATTCAAATTTAATGAAAGGTGAACAGATGGAGAGTATTTGTATTTCTAATTTTGCTAATTTTCTGGTTTTCTATCATTAATAATATGTGCGAACAGGGAGATAGGGGAATGGGAGGTGATAGTGATGATAGAGACCTGGCTGGAGGAGAAGAGATGGGGGAAAATAATGAACAGACTGCTGAAAGGATACAGGTGGAGTAAGCAATGGGCAAAGAGGAGGAACAAGAAAGGAAGGGCAATGGATGGGATGCTAATGGGGGTGAGATAGGAGATGGCGAGCGAGGAAAAGGTAGGAGAAAAAGACACAGAGGGGCTGATGGTGGGAGAAGTCCGAGCGGGAGAGGAGGAGTGGAGGGTAGTAGCGGTGTACGTGAACGGGGACATGGACAAGAAGCTGGAGGAGCTGAGGGGATGGATGAAAACACGGAGAGGGAAAGAGAATCGTAGGGGGCGATTTTAACGCGAGGACAGGGAAAGAAGGAGGGAAAGTGAGAGGGCCGGAGGAGGAAGGAGAGAGAAAATCGAAGGACAACAAGGTGAATAGCGAGGGAAAGAAAATGATCAAGATGATAGAGGAGGTAGGATGGGGGATTTTGAACGGAGATATAGAGGGGGACGAGGAGGGTGAATTCACTTATACAGGAGGGAAAGCGGAGACCGTAATTGACTACGTGATGGTGGATGAAGACACGAGGGAGGAGATAGGAAGGATGGAGGTGGGAGATAGGACAGAATCTGACCATCACCGGCTGATAGTGACGGTTAGAAGGGGTAAGGGGATGAGGAGAAACGAGGGGAGGAGAGAGAGGAAAGTAGGGAGTGGACGCTGGTCCCGAAAGATGAAGGAGGAATACGAGAAGGGGATGACGGAGAAGACAGTAAAGGGGGAAGGGATACAGGAGATGGTGAATGAGGCGGTAGAGAAGATAAAAGAGGAAATGCGGATGAGCGAGAGGGAAGGAGGGTGGGAGAGAAGGAAGAGGAGGGAGACATGGTGGGACGAGGAGTGCAGGGAGAAGAAAGCGGAGATGAGAAAGAAGTTAAGGAAATGGAGAAAAAGGGAGGGGGCAGGAGAAGAATACAGAATAGAAAGGAGAGGGTACAAGGAATTGTGCGAGAGGAAAAAAGAGGAGGAACGGGAAAGGCTGATTAAGGAGGTAGCGGAAGCAAGGACGGAAAACAAGGTGTGGGAGATCGTGAATAGGGGTAGGAAGGAAAGAAAGAGAATGAATGAAGAGATAGGAGAGGAAAAGTGGAGGGAGTACTTCATAGGACTTCTAGGGGGTGTAGAGAGGAGGGTGAGATTAGGGGGACGAGAAGGAAGAAGGGGGAGGAAGAGGAGTTAAGGTTGGAGGAGGTAAGAGTGGCGGTGAGGAGGTTAAAAGAGGGAAAGGCAATGGGAGCGGATGAGATTCCGAACGAAGCTTGGAAATTCGGAGGAGAAAGGACGGTGGAACTGGCATGGGAAATCTGTAGGAGAGGGGAGGGATGGCCGCAGACGTGGAAGGAAGGGATCATAGCACCGATCGTAAAGAAGGGAACAGGGGCAACAGTCGAGAACTATAGGGGGGTTACGTTGATGCCGACACTGTACAAAGTGTACGCGACGGTGTTAGCCAAGAGACTAGAGAAGGAAGTGGAGGAGAAAAGAGTGGTTCCGGAAAATCAGACGGGATTTAGGAGGGGAATGGGAACGATCGATAATATATATGCCTTGAACTACATAGTTAACGACAGGATTAAAAGGGAAAAAGGAAAAATGGTGGCGATATTTGTAGATCTAAAGGCTGCATTCGATTCAGTGGATAGGGCGGTATTAGGGGAAGCCTTGGAGAAGAGAGGAATAAGAGAGGGGTTGAGGGAGAGTGTGATGGAGATATATGAGGAGACGATGAGCAGGGTTAGGACCAAAAATGGACTAGGGGAGGCCTTTTGGCAAACGAGAGGGGTAAGGCAAGGATGCCCTTTGAGTCCTTTGCTATTTAACATACTTATAGTGGACCTGGAGGAGGAGATGAGGAAAGGAAGATGGGGAGGAGTGCATATTGAGGAGAGGAGGGTATGTACATTGGCATACGCGGATGACGTGGTGGTAATGGCAGAAAACGAGGAGGAGATGGAAAGCATGGTTAGAAGGCTGGAAAGATACTTTGAAAGAAAGAAATTGGAGGTGAACGTGAGAAAGACAAAGGTTATGAGGTTCAGGAAGGGGGGTGGGAGATCGAAAGAAGTAACGTGGAAGTGGAAGGGAAAGAGGATAGAGGAGGTGAAAGAGTTCAAGTACTTGGGGTATCTGTTCAGGGCCAATGGGGGGCAGGAAGGGCACATTAAGGAGAGGGTAAAAAAGGCAGGAGTGGTGATGAGAAGTGCATGGGGGATTGGGAGAAGGAAATTTGGAAGAAAATGGAGCAGGTGGATGTGGCTGTTCGACACACTAGTGTGGACGGTAATGGGATATGGGGCGGAAATATGGGGGTGGAAGGAAAGGAAAGAGATAGAGGGGATACATGAGAGGTTTATAAGATGGTCTCTGGGGGTTGAGTGGAGGACGCCGGGGTATATGGTGAGGGAGGAGACAAAGAGAGAGAAAATGAGTACAAGGGCTTGGAAAAGAGCGTGGAGGTTTGAGGAGAAGTTGCGGAGAGGGGAGGGAGGGGAAGTGGCGAGATGGTGTTGGGAAGAGGTGAAAAAGAGAGAGAGCAGAGAGGGGAAAGAAGCGTCGAAATGGGAAAAGGAAAGGAAAGAGAGAAGGAACCTCGTGGGAGAAAGGGGAAGGGTGGAAGAAATGGGAAGCGAAGAGGAATACGAAAGGATGGAAAGGGAGGACAGGGAAGAGCAAAGGAGGGAAAGGGCGAGAAGAATAAGCGAAGCGAGGTACAGCAGGTGGTATAAAGAAGTGAGGACAGAATGGGGTACCAAGGTATTTGATGGCAGGTTGGAAAGAGGAGAGATGGAGAAGAGTTGCGAGGTACAGATTAGGGAATGAATTGAACGAGAGAAAGTACTGGGAAAAGGAAGGAGGTAGATTGTGTAGGGTTTGCGGCGAGGAGGAGGAATCGTGGGGACACGTACTGGAAAGATGTGAGGGAGGAGACAGGTTGCAAGGGGATATTGGGGAGAGGATAAGGATGATTTTGGGAGAAAGGGAAGAGGGGGAGAGTTGGATGAAGGAACTAGAGAGGGTGAGAGGATAGTGAGAGGGGAAGGGAGAGAATTAATGAAAGGAAGAATGGAGCGAAAGGAACGGAAGCGGAGGTCCAGGAGAGGCGAGAGGGAGAGTATAGAGGATTAGAGGAAAGAGGAACAGTAGATAGGAGGGGGGAGAGGGTGCGGAGAGAGGCGGCGGAGAGAGAGAGAGAGCGGAAAAGGAGAGGAGAAGGCATGGGGAAAGAGCAGAAAGGCGTTTAGTTCGTAATGGCGAATTAGAATTAAGGTAGAATAAGAATATGATAAGGGCGAATAGTTGTAAGAGAATTGTGAAGAAATTGTAATCCCATAGGGAAGCAATAAACTATACATACATAATATGTGCGAACAGAAAGCAAATTGAATATGATATATGATATTTGAACCTATGAAATTGTGTTAATAACTGGCAGATATCTGGCAGGAAACAATGAATCTTATTTATATAAATGATTTTTGAATATGTTTTAGATCCGCGTTTGATTTAAGTTTATTGTAAAGTTTAGCTTATTTCCATTAATTGTTTAGAAGATATTATTATGGATAATTATTTATATGAAGTACGATTTTATTAACAACCATTTTATTAACAAACTTTCTTAAAATAGTTAGGTAACATATGTATTTTTTAGACGTAGATAACCAAATTTTTAATTGAATACAGAATATAGAAAGTTTCTTTAAAAGAGAACCTTATATCCACATTCAATATCTACATTCTATATAATTAATTCACTCATTCATACTAAATCAAATCCAAAATTAAGAATTTTTTTCAATTAAGAGCATATTTGAGCCTTTCATTGAACACATCGATTAACTCCACTTTTTGAAAAATCTTAAATTTATGTATCAAAGCACAAGTTATGACTATACCAAGTGCTTTGATACATAAATTTAAGATTTTTCAAAAAGTGGAGTTAATCGATGTGTACACTGAACGGCTCATTTATCGTTAGATTAAATACGCCATTACTTATGTATATAAATATTTATATACAACAACTATAAAAATCGTTTCGAAAAGCTACATTTCACTTAATACAAGTACAATTTTTCCGATTATTTACCTAAAATAGACGATTATATAAATATTTGAACTGTATTTTCAAAAACTCCCATGCTCTGAAATGGCTGAAATTTTGGAAATAAGTTCTTTTTTTTACTAAAATCATGATTGCGAGAAGGATATTTAACGACTCGAAAAAAAATATTACTATTTGAGTGTCATTGCCTCTTTTACCGAGGAAGTCATTACCGCGGGAATACGCCATAGCTTTAAAAGCGAGTTAGAGGATTTGCTGTTTTCAGTTATGAGTACGAGATTCAGTAACTTTGACGGCGGCATTGAATGGTTAAGAGAAATGAAACTAATTTCGAGAGAAAGATGGTTTAGAAAGCATAAAAAGAGTATGATATACATTGAGAGCAGAGAATCCTCGGGCTATTGTCGGGGTTACAAATCAGGGAAATATGACCATAGTATTTCACCCGCATATAATACATACAATTATTATGTTTATTATTTAACTAAGGTAAGCCTTTCTATGTACTACATTATCACTATAAATGTATTTGTGTTCAGTATTTTCGAAATGCATCCTTACGAGGTAGTCGCTAAGAATTCTTTGGGGAGTCTTAACGTTAGTAGAAAGGAAAAAAAATTTGTGTTGTCACTAAAAATGTGTCCCAGCCTGGGGATTTGAATTTACGTCGAAAGATTTACCCTGCCTTATTTTACAATTATACTTTTGTATTTATACATTCTATTATTTTTACAAAACTGTAAATTTTATGTAAAAATTTCTATAGATTTCTTTAAAAGCAAAGTACAAGCCCACGGTCACGATTGTGTCGGTAACATAGGAAATGACTGTGAAATGGTACAGATTTTTCTTTCGAATTGCCCAAAATCCTTCTCGCAATCATTATTTTTCATTAGAAAAGAACCTATTTCCAAAATTTCAGCCAATTCGGAGCATGAGGGTGTTCGGAAATTTAGCAAATATTTGTGTACAATAATATAATATACTATATGCACACGGAGCGTATAATTTTCCTCTGATAATGTGAAAGAGGATTAAATTCTAAGTCGAAAGTTCCTTTCACATTTCTCTCTACAATTATTATTGACGAAGTTAGTAACGGAGAAGTGTGGTAGGCTTCGCCCCTTTGAACGGGATTGAACCACACATTTTTCGTTAATAACCTAGAGAAAAATGGGAAATAATCTTTTTGCTCAGAATTCCATCCTCTTTTACACTCACTCAGAAAAATTCGTGTTGTGATAATTTTATCTTAACATTACTTTTAGTCATAAATGTTTCCTATCGGAGGAACCTGAGAGCCGCTAAAGCTGTCAACAGGAACTTGACGGTAACTATTGGTACGTTATTGTCGTAACTGTGTTTCGAAGTCGCGTCGTTCGCCAAATGCTTCCCTGAAAAACAAAGTTGTCAGTTATTCATTTATTTATTTATTTATTTATTAATATACGAAATTAACTAATAGTTGTTAGGACAGTTTTAGTTCAAAGTAAATGCCAGTCGATAGCTTTTATTTAATTACGTTACTCACAGAGGGACGCCAAGTAATTGTGGCAGCAGCACTCCCTCAACCTAGCATACTCGGCGCAGTCGCCGATTAATACCTTGCATTCCTGAGGGCCGAGCTGACACGAGTGCTTTACAAACGGGAACACCTCTGACGATAAAAAAAAAGAAAATGGAAAAGCAATTATTATTGAACATAATAATTCTATTAATAAATAGAGAATCTTATTTTATATGAATAAAATTGTATCTAAAAGAATACTAACAATGGGAGACTATTTACGATATGTAGACTAATCTTATATCTAAAATAAATCCAAAAATAGTTCCATTAGGATTTATAGTTTTTGTGGAAAAAATCTTACATAAAAAAAACACCTATTTTTGTAAAAAATAATGTATCTCCATTCGTCTCGAATATTTTTCGATGAGAAAATCCATGAGGCAGTGTTAGATGTATACACAAACGAGTCTATAAATTTTCAATAAAAAACCTTTAATTGTTTTCATGAAGCAAAAAATCGTGAATAGAAAAAGGCTGATTTTACAAAATAAATTAATGAAATTGAATTCGTATAGTTCTGATAGGGACTGTAGAGGCCAGGTGACACGCCTGATGCGAAACGTTTGCCCGTTGAACAAATCCTAACTCAAGCGCGACCACTCCACCGTTGAGAATGTAAATAGGTGTATAGGTGAATACAGGCGCCGCGCAGATTAGATTAACGATTTCATGCACGTTTATTCCTTTCTGTGAACTCATCATTCCCCTATGCAGGTGTCCACATAGTCACATACCATACGGCCGCTAGCTCGAGAAGGTTCATTCGATTTAAGAGGAACTATGATAAAGAGTAGAGTCTTTGTCATTTTGCTGAATCAATTAAGATCTGGTATTTTTTTCTTAGAAGTGGTAAATGGTATTCAAATAATTCTTGGATATATTTTAGATATAGTATTTCTCTAGCTTCAGGAATTTTTTCGTCAGAAAAATGTTAAATCGGGGCTGAGATGTAAAATATTATATAAAAGTCGTTATTTTTTGTTCAAGATTTTTTAGCATAACATTGGTTAGTAATTTTAATGGAAAATTTGTAGATTTGTTTATGTATATTTAGCCCTGCTTCTTGAATGTCTTCATATTGAATAGTAACTCAGATACGCTATATTATATATACAGGGTAGTCCACGCAACGTATGCACCGTTATAACTTCCAAAATATGCGTTGCACGAAAAAATAGCTAATTGACTTTAACTGTCACGTAAACATTGCTGTTCTGCAGAAATCTATGATATAAGGTTGAATCTCCAACTTGATATTACGCGAAGAAAATTTTCCAGAAATAAAGTGAAATTACTTGTTAGCTATTAAGTTTAGGGCTAATAACGGTCAATACTTTTTTACTTACAATTCGATATTCTACCATAATTTGCTATAAAAGATGTAGTACTTTGTTAAAAAAACAAAGTTGACCTTCAAATCTCCGAAACGCCTCTACCTATAAAAACAATTAACGCACTGTATGTATAGTGTACCCTTTTAAACCATGTAACTTTTGTACATAACATTCTTTCGTGCAACGCATATTTTGGAAGTTATACGGTGCTCACGTTGCGTGGACCACCCTGCATGTTTTCAAACCAAACTACTTTATTATATCTCGGAAACGGTACAAGCAAAAAACACGTTTGGGTATTGTTTCGAAAACATCTCGAAACATATTATAAGAATATGTAATAAAACAATTAAATTAATTAAAAAAATAAAAAATTAAAAAATTCAAGGCTGACTTTCATAGTCTTTTTTGAAGGCCATATTAAGGTCAAATATAATATGTATAACAGGATAATCTGGCCGCCTCGTAACCATACAACTTTTGTTTAGAACATTTTTTCGTATCATTTATATTTAAAATCCGAACACAATGGAGCACAATGGAGAATTATACGCTCAAAATAATATTAAATGTACATATGCGTACATAACATCGATGAAGAACGGATTGTTTATATCTTTTTTGCTTTGTTTCGATCGATTTCTTTTGTTCGAGCACATAAATCGATCGAGGTCGATACTGATACGCGAGAGGACTAATAAAATATTATCGAGGAAGCAAAGAAATCAAGGCGAATCGTTCCAATTCACCTGGCTCGCCAATTAGTTCCATTAAAAATAAAACAATAACGTTCAATTCTAAATCAATTTTATATGCTGTGATGTTTTAAATTTTATATGATAAAATGATAGTATCATTGCATTAGTTTTATTAATTCACACGCTTATTCGTGTCACAGTGTAATGTTGTATTAAAAGTAAATTTTGTCAATATAGAACGATAGGTAGTGGATTCGCACTGTCGATTCGTTACGAAAATGGACGATAAGGACCCCACTAAAATAGCTGGAATAATGCCTAAAAAAATGATTCGTCAAAAATGACCAAAACTAGGCTAAAAAATGTCTAAAATAGTGTCGAAATAGACCCGAAACAAATCCCCAAAATACAGATTCACTAAAATAACGTCAAAAATACGGTCGAAAATAAGTTCCAGCAGATAAGACCCCAAAATGTGGGCCCATTATCATGACCACAGCTTAACTTAAATTTAGAGCCATTGTCATCAATGCACACTAATTAAAAACCTTATATGTCCCAAAAAACTCAATTCCCATAACTCCATA